GCAGCCTTGGCAGGCAACCTCATGGGACCTTAGTGAGGCTCTGCCTCTGGGTGCCCCCCTCCTCGTCTTCACCCTGCATTGACCTGCTCCTCCTAAAGCGTGAGGAGTCATGGCAGCCACAGGCCGTGTAGGGTGGAACGGCCCTGAAAGGCCCTCCACCTCCTGTCTGATGCCTGGTTCCCTCTGGGACTTCCCACCAGGTAGCCTCCTCCCCTTGGCCTTGGCCACCTCCTGTGACAGGGATCTCATCATATACCTAATAACCAGCCCGTTCTTTGGTTGTAATTTGTCCCCATACCTTCTACCTGTTGTCCCCTGGACTCTGGGCTCCGGAAAGACAGGGCCCCTGTCTCAGTCTGCTGTCCCCAGATGGCCAGCATAGTGCCCAGCACCCAACAGAGACACAGTCCATTCTTGTTGAAGGAATGAATGGTCCAGCTGGGCCCATGGGTTACACAAGACAAGTGCAGTGGCTTTTGCTCAGATATGGAAAGAGAAGTCTCCTGCCTCCCCTTGTCACTTTGTAGCTAAGGCTTCTGAGGCCCAACAGCCGCTTGTGTGACTCGTGTCAGCCTCCTCCCCCGTCCTCCCCTCTGCTTCCTCCCAGCTCCTCACTGCTGGTCACCACCTCTCGGAGCGGGACTCCCGGTGTGGAATTGTGGATGGATGTGGACGCAGGTGTTCTGGACATTCACTGCCTGTGATAGGCTCTTGGGGAACTGCCGGCCCTGCTGAGGGCAGACCCCTGCACATCTGACCGTGGGTGTCTGGTCCTTAGCTGTCTGGGGAGCAGTTTCTGCTCTGTCCCGCCTCCACGCCCGTCTGGCCTCCCACACAGCATCCACGGGGTGGCCGCAGGCTGTCTCGGCGGCTGTGGCCGAGCCCCGAATGTCGGTGTGCCGCTCAGAGCCCTGCTCCCTACCACGCATCCTGGCAGGGTCTCCACAACCTGTCATCCTCGTTTCATCTTGATTTATGATCAGACCTAATGAGTTTTTGGAGCAGCTGTCTCCCAGGGATTTGGCAATCAATCTAGGAGATGGCTGTTGAACTCTGCTCCTTTCATAGCCAGGGGAAGGAGGGAGGGAGGGGCCAGACAAAGGGGTGGGGTCACAGGGGCCTGGCTAGGTGGGCCGTGGGGGTTAAGCCTTGTGCCCATGGTACTGGGACCCCACAAGGTCGGGACTCTGACCTCCCCTCTCTCCCTCCCTCCCTCCCTCCCTCCCTCCTTCCCTCCTTCCCCTCCCTCCCTCTCTCTTTCCCCTCCCTCCCTCCCTCTTTTCCCTCCTTCCCTCCCTCCTTCCCCTCCCTTCCTTCCTTCCTTCTCTCCCTTTCCTCTGTCTCTCGGGGGAACTTGAGGTTCTAGGTGGTGCTAGTTTCTTTTGAACTTGCTGGTTTGGCGACCAGGCTGGAACAGTTCCCCTCACTCTCCACGCCCAAGGCACAGAGTCCCGCACCCACCTTCATAGCCTCATGGTGGTGGGGAACCGGAGGGCCCTGCCCCCACCTCCCCAGGTAGCTGGGGTTCACCCTCCACCTTGGCTGGGGCCATTTCCACTGAGAAGCTGGTCCTCACCCCTGTTTTGGGGGCCATGGCTCTTCTAGAACCACCTACCCTTCCCGGGTGCACTCCTCACCATGGCAGCCTCTCCCCCTCCTGGTGTGTGGGTGCTCTGAGCACAGGTCGGGATTCACAGGTGAACGATCCACCTTGGCTGGGTGTGCACTCTGTCTGATCAGCCCCAGAGTTGGTGGCATCTCCATGCAGCTGAGCTGCTACACAGCTGGGTGAGCTTTTGACAGCAGCACAGGGTGTGGCCAAGGGGAGCTCACGAAGGCCCACACGGCCCTGCAGCCACCCCTGCCCCCTGTTCATCCTACTTTCTAACGCTCTGGAATCACCTCCCAAGAGCTTCTAGCATCTGCTTCTGACTCCCAGGCAGCAGCAAACATCCAGCCCACGAAGGTAGACCTGGTTTTTGGAAATAGACTTGTTTAAGACAATTAAAAGAACAAAATGGGTGACTAATTAGGTAGTGGCATTATGAGGTGAAACTAATTATGACTAGAAGACCATGAAATCCATTTTTTAAATCACCCATGGCCGTGGCTTTGTTCTTTTTTTTTTTTTTTTTTTTTTTTGTCTTGTTTTTTTTTTTTTTTTTTTTTTTTTTTTTTTTGGAGTCTTGCTCTGTCTCCCAGACTGGAATGCAATAATGCAATGATCTCGGCTCACTGCAACTTCTGCCTCCTGGGTTCAAGTGATTCTCCTGCCTCAGCCTCCCAAATAGCTGGGATTACAAGTGTGTACCACCAAGCCCAGCTAATTTTTAGTAGAGGTGGGGTTTTACCATGCTGGCCAGGCTGGTCTCAAACTCCTGACCTCAGGTGATCTGCCTGCCTAAGCCTCCCAAGGTACTGGGATTACAGGCGTGAGCCACTGCGCCAGGCCGCCATGGTTTTGTTCTAGCCAAAGATTCTAGAGGTTGTTCCGTACCATTGCTGGCGTCAAAGGCAGCCTCTTCCCAAGATAGCTGTGCAGGAGGATGCCAGTTAGGAGGGGTACATTTCAGGGGTGGGGTGCGTGTGTGTACACTCATCTCATTTCTTTGGAAACCTACTTCATAAATTATTTTATTTACTGTAAGGAAATCCCACAGTCAGCGCTGTGAGGAGAGCTGCCTTTCTTTGGAGATGCAAGGCTGGGAGCAGAGAAGCATGAGCTGCGTCCAGGGCAGGAGAGAGCAGTGACAGGGGTGCTCACGTCCAGACAGCTGACCTCTTCCTGCCTTCTTGCCTGCTCAGCAGACCCAGGGCCAAGCGACAGACAGCTAGAGGAATTCTCCACTTGCCTTTTTCTAAGTTCATGCCAGCCTTGGCCAGGGCCAAGTGCCAGGTGTCAAGGTGGCGCCCTGAGATGGCAGTGGCAGTCCAGGATTTGAATCTTGCCCTACAGCAGCTGCCCCCATTGTCCTGACCCTCATGCCCCACCTATGATGGCAGAACTGTCTGCTGCAGCCTCCTGAATAATCACCAGGTGCCCCTGGGCCCAGTCTGCCTGCTGTACCCCAGTGCCACCCTGCTCAGCTCTCCCTGTAGCCCTTTCTGGCACACAGGGACTCCACCTCCAGCCTGCCTAGTCTCTCCCTGGTACCCCCTCCCGCACACCCTGCCCTGCCACACCTCCTGTGGGGGGGATCTCCCACACAGGCTTCTGCTGCGCACACCCCCCGTACCCACCCTCAGAAATCTCTGGGGCGAGCAGATTGCTCAGGGTCTTGGGCTCTCCCACAGGTGTCCTGTGCCATCCATCCCCAGTGGGAGAAGCTGGAGGCAGCTCCCTGGGCTGAGACTTGAAGGGGCTAGGTCACCACTTCCCCTTGACTGACCAGGGCTGGGACAATGTGTGATGCCGGGGGAGGAAGAGTCCCCAGGCCCTCAGAGTCAGGAGTGGCGGAGACTGGAGCGGGCGATGAGAGGCAGAAACAAATCATCTTCTTTACTGCCAATTTTCTCAGGCAGGTTTCCACATTCCACTCCTCCCCTCCCATCCCCGCCAGTGTCAGGCAGTTCTCATTAAAAGGAATAGATGAAGATTCCATCCCACTCCCAAGTGTCATTATGGGAAGACATTGCCTGGCTCCCTGTGGGTCCCATCAGAACCAACTCTTCCTTCCAGGAGTTGGGGAGTGTGCCTGGCCCAAAGGGGACCATGGGGTACCCAGATGCCCACCTGCAGAAGAGCCCTGAGGCTCTGCCCGGGCCCCAGACAGGAGCCACCGAGCTTCAAGCTAGCCTGTTTGGCCACTGCCCCTTCACACTTGCCTGTGCTGCTCACCAAGAAATGTAACATGTCCCCGTGGGCTTCACCTGAGGGGTGAGGGCGCAGTCTAGAGGGGCTGTCAGATATGTTCTGAACAGAGAGAACAGGGCTTGGTCAGCTTCAGAAGAGACACGGACACCGGTAGTCTCCATGTGTGAGTAGCTAACCGAGGTTCTAGGTAGACTGGAGGGCAGAAGCCAGAGACGCAGAAAGATCTAAGCATGCCATCTCCGCAGAGTGCCGGGACACAGCCCCTTGTGCCTGGGCTGCGCAGGCTGCCTCTGGGGAGCTCAGTGTGGAGGACGTGCTGTGAGCCTGTCTCCGGTGGCGGCCCAAAAGGAGAGCCATCATAAAAGGCTGCGAAGTGAAGCCAGCCCGGTCTCCATCAGCAATGCAAGCTGTTCACTCTGAACAGATAGGGCCACGAGCCCCCTTCCACTTCCACAGAGTCCCTGTAGCTGTGCTGCCAGGCCCAGGAAAACAGAGCCACATGCCACCTGCCTCCAGCCTTGGTGTCAGCAGCCCAGGTCCTTGGTGTCATTTCTGCCCTGGCATGACCACTGGCAACTTCCTGCCTGCCCTTGGCCCCTGGGTACCCACCCGTCTGCCCCTGGGCAGCACTCCTGCTTGTCGGCCTCAGCTGTGTCTAGCAGATGCCCTCGGCCCAGGAGGACACCTCCTCATAAATGCTCCCTGCCCTTCTGCATCTACCCCGCCAGCTCCCCAGTCTCACATTGCTTAAACCAAAGGATAGAGGGTGACCCTGTGTCCTGACCCAGCCTGCTCCCTGCCAGGAAGCTGGCAGAGCCCTTGAGAGCCCTGGGGGGCTAATGAGGGAGCCGGGCAGTGCCTGACCAGGACTCATCCTCTGAGAAGACAGAGCTGCCACCTCTGCAGAGCCAGGCCACCCTGCCACTGGCCCCAGCACAGCCCTGTCCCCACATACCCAGGCCCCCTGCTCAGCAGGAAGAGGGGAGAACAGGACAGAGAGGGATGCAGGACTTCCTTCATCTAATGAGCAGCCACCATTGAGCTGCCCAAGAACAGGGCTGCGTGATTGCATTTAGTGATTCTTTCTCATGGGGCTCTAGTCCCCACAAAGGTGCCTCCAGACCAGAAACTCCAAGGTAGGGCTGTGCCCGTCCCCACTGGCTGACTCCCCTCTCTCATTTCCCAGCTTTTGCCGTCATGATTGTGCTGGCCCTGGTCCGAATCGGGCACGGACAGGGGGAGGGGCACCCGCCCCTGGCCGACTTCTCGGGGGTCCGGAACCTGTTCGGGGTGTGCGTCTACTCCTTCATGTGCCAGCACTCCCTACCATCCCTCATCACACCCGTCTCCTCCAAGCGCCACCTCACGAGGCTGGTGTTCCTGGACTACGTGCTCATCCTGGCCTTTTATGGCCTCCTCTCCTTCACCGCCATCTTCTGCTTCCGAGGCGACAGCCTCATGGACATGTACACCCTCAACTTCGCGCGCTGTGACGTCGTGGGCCTGGCCGCCGTGCGCTTTTTCCTGGGCCTCTTCCCCGTCTTCACCATCAGCACCAACTTCCCCATCATTGCCGTGACCCTGCGCAACAACTGGAAGACGCTTTTCCACCGCGAGGGCGGCACGTACCCGTGGGTGGTGGACCGCATCGTGTTTCCCACCATCACCCTGGTGCCGCCCGTGCTGGTGGCCTTCTGCACCCACGACCTGGAGTCCCTGGTGGGCATCACAGGGGCCTACGCAGGCACCGGCATCCAGTACGTCGTCCCCGCCTTCCTGGTGTACCACTGCCGCAGGGACACCCAACTGGCCTTTGGCTGCGGGGTCAGCAACAAGCACAGGTCCCCTTTCCGCCACACCTTCTGGGTGGGTTTCGTGCTGCTCTGGGCATTCTCCTGCTTCATCTTTGTCACGGCCAATATCGTCCTCAGCGAGACCAAGCTATGATGGCAGGACAGGGAGGTCTGGTGGTGGGAGGCGTAGGGTGCCCAGCCTCGTCCCTCACCCGCAGAGCCCAGATTGAGTTGCTCCCAGGTCTCCATGGGGCAGGTGGGACTGTGGCTCTAGGGGGAAACCCTCTGTCCAGCTGGGGGTCTTCTCCCCACCCCACCTTCCACCCAGTCTGCACCTGGCCTCATTCCCCCAGGCTGCTCTCCCAGCAGGTCCTCCTGCCTGGGTGACACATGGCTGCTCCCAAGTTCTAGGACTAATTACTGGAATCACATCCCTCTCCCAAATTCTCCAACATGCTTCACCCCCCACCCCACCTCCAGAGGCAGGCTCCTCCCTGTAGGGTGGGAGATGCGGTGCTGGCACTGCCATAATTTGTCCCCGCCCACGCCCCTCCCCTCTCCAGCCCCATCCTGCATCCTTGTCTCAGAACCCTCCACTAGCAGCTGCTGCCTCTTCAGAGGTGAATCCGGGGCTACAAGCATCCCAGCCAGGCCCGCTTGTGACGGCAGGGGCCACCCTCTCACCAGGCCTGGGAGGTGCTAGGCACCACCTCAGAGAGGGCCTGGCTGGCCCCCTGACAAGAACAAGAAGTGCTAACTGGTACCAGAGTCCCAGACAGAGCTGCGAGGGCACTCGCTGTGGGTGCGAACTCCGGAGTAGCAGGCTAGAGGGAGCGTCCCTCCTACAGGGACACGGCCACCTGCCAGCCGGGCCTAAAGTCTGGAGCTTGTCCCTGAAAGGGACCCTCTGCTGCCCTCGCTGCCCCGCTGGAGCCCTCAGGGCCTTCTGTAGTGCGGGTGGTCCTACTAGAGGGAAGCCATCCCCACCTGGCACCTCTGAGACTTGGCAGTGACATGGCAGTGGGAGGACTCCGAGGTTTCCACCCTCACGACGGTCAGGCTGCCCCTGCCCCCACGCCAGCACTAAAGGTGGCTCCCTTAGGGGCTGGGCATGGGTGCTCGGTGTTCACACTCTCTGTGTCCCTTGGGCAATGTGGGGTTGAATGGGGCCCCTGCTGCCATTCTCGTGGAAGGAGGCCAGGTCCCCAGCCACCTCCCACTCAGCCATGCACACACTTGCTGGGCTGGCCTCCTGGGAAACACAGGTGACTCGAATGAACTCTGCATTTTCAACGTGCCTTCTACTGTTTCAGGACCTGGGGGTCCTCCTGACCCTCACTGGCTTGCCCCCAGCCCTGGGCCTGGTCCCACCTGTCCTAGAGCCCAGAGCCGCTGGCCTGGAGCTGCCTCTCTGGGGTGGGTCTCAGGCCCCATCCCTCCCTCTTTTGAGTTCAGTGCCTTGCTCAGCCCCTCCCATGTCTCACCGTCTTCAGACCTCTGACAGAGCAACGATGCAGGGTCTCCTGGGGCCCGAGATGGTCTCAGGGTCAGGGGGATGTGGGATTTGCAGGAAACTTGGGGAGCCCGCAGGTAGCGCCACCTCTACCCTGGCAGCTGAAGCCTGGGAGAGTCCCTCAAGGTGTAATTGGCCTCAGTCTGCTTTCTCACTGCCGTCACCCCTTGGCGGTCCTTACCGCTTGTCCCCACGTGTCATTATTTTCCATCCACAGGAAAAACAAATGCCTCTTCTCCATCTGCCATTGTGGCTCCTCCCAGGAGGCCTCTCAGGGTGGGTAGAGCAGGGGCCTGCAGTGGCCAGGCCAAGAGCAAGGAAGACCTGGCCTCGCTCCCGTGGCCTGGGCTCTCTCTACAGCTTCCCAGTTGTTTGCTGAAAACTCAAAGCATCTGGAATTCCCCTTCTCTAGTTACATTCTCTCTCACTTAGAGACAAAGCAGATTGAATTATCCTGCTGCCCCAGGCTCCAAACCAAATTTTGGAGCAAATTCATTAGCTTCATAAAGCCCAGGTTGATTTATGTGACAGTCTGGAGCCGCCCAGCCATGGAGTTGGTGGCTATGCTCCCTGCCACCTCTGAGCCGAGGCAGCCCCAGCCCTGGAGGGAACAAGCCCACAGTGACCACATTGCTGAAGCCAAGCGGGGACCCTCCCCACTGCTGTGGTCGAGCTGCCTTGCTCCTCAGTGTCGTCCTGCTAGTAGTGAGATGGGGTCACCCTCCTCTCCATAGACGCCAGGATTCCGCCACTGACAGCCATCGGGGGTTGGGGCCAGGGGCAGAGGACCACAGCAGCAAAACAGTCCCAGGTGATGCTGGCTCTCCATGTGTATCAGGCACATTGAACTGCAGCCATCATCAGCTTGGCAAAGTAGGCAAGTCTAGGTTGTGGTTTCCATTATGCAGATGCTCCCCAGGGTCAGTGGTGGGGAGAGCAGAAGAGGATACCGCCCAGCCTGACCCAGGAACAGGTGTCGCTGTGGAGGAAAGCTTAAAGCCAGCAACCTCTACCCATCGTCCGCCACCTGCATGGCCCCAGATGCCCCAGGGGCAGGCCAGGTCAAGGTGGGAGTAAACGTTTTTTGCCTCCCTCCCCACAGAAGCACCAGACCCACCTGATCCGCAGCACCTCGTGCCAGCAGCTCCTGGCTGTTCCTCACCTGAGGCTAGAGCAGCGGCTGCAAGATTATAGATGGGGCAGGTGGCAGGTGACAGACCGGGAGGCACTGCTGGGTGGTGGAGGTGGGCTGTGGCACTGTGCCAGGCGCCTAGCCACACAGCTCTTTTCACCACGGGGCCAGGAGCAGCCTCGGCAACAGGCAGAAGCCAGAGTCAGAGGGAAGGACAGGGGCTGCTACCCCACTCCTGGAAAGCCACTGCAGAGGGGCAGTGACTGGCAGTGCCAGGCCTGGGGGAAGTGGAAGTGTCCTGTCTAGGGGGCAGATTCCCAAGTAAGGGTGACCCATGGTTAAGGGCCAAGGGAAAGCTGGAGAGAGCTTGGGATCCCTTCCGTGTGGGCCAGTGGTATTGACTGCACACTGGAGGGGTAACCTCCGCTGAGGGTCATTATGTGCCAGGCATGGCATTGGGTACTTTCTGCATGGATCAGGCAGCTAGGCCTGCCACTTGCAAGCAGCGAGCCTCCGTGACCTATCCTTTCTCGTGTGTAAAGTGGGGTAATAGTAGCTGTGTCACTGGTCAGTTGTGGGGGTTAAAGTGCTGAGCTTAGTGCCCAGCACAAAAGTGCTCAATAAAGCTGTTCAGTGACACCTGTCTCCCACATCACTCGCCAGCCATACCTGCACTTACAGCCAGTGGCCCCCGACTCGTCAGGACACCTACTTGGTTTCTTAGCCTCCTAATGAGCTGAGTTGTCACCAGATTGCAATTCAGAAACAGGAAATTGGCCTGAATTCTCTGGAATCTGGTGGGCTTTGGGGAGAGGGGTTGTCTCTCGTTCCCCTGTCCCCTAGGAAACTAGAGGACAGTCCTTCCCTTTCAAAGAGCAGGACAGGCTAGGCTGGAGGGTCCTGGCATCAGCCTGCCCTTTTACAAACTGCGCTCCTCTCCCACACACACCTGGCTCCCTGTAGAAAGGTGGCTTGGGCCACAAGCCACTCAGCTAGGCACAAGGAAAAACAGCTACAGCAGCAGCAGAAGGGACCCCAGTTAGTAAGATTTTCCTGCTCTGAGACCAGCAGCAAGGGCCTCTCTCTTCCTGTATCTCACCAAAAGAAAAAAGGCAGTATTTGAGCATCTGGGTGTCCAGGCCCTTGCTTATGATGATTACACATCTATGGCCTTACTTCTCTCTCCTCTCCCCTGCCAGGCTTTCCTCCCTTCCCTTGGTGGTGCAGGAAGCCAGGCCAGGCTAGTTCTGAACTCAGGATGTACCCTTCCTGCTACTTGTCCCCCAGGACTCATATTCTCCCTGCCTCCCTCCTCCATCCCCCTCCCATCCCCCCTGCCAAATATATTCCTAGAGAAGGTACAAGGCAGCCAGTGCCTGGCCTGGGAGCAGGAGTCGCCCCTCCTGAGAGCCAGCAGCAGGCTCAGCTCCACTTGGAGGCTCAGCTCTTAATGATCTTTCCAGTTCTTGGTTATTAATGATCTTGGGCAGAGAGCGGAGCAGCCCTGACCTCACAGCTCCTCCCAGCTGCCTGACCTGCCACAACCTTCCTCCCAGGGCCAAAGGCAGACCCTGACTCCAGGGAGGAGGAAGGGGTCAGTTCCAGGGGCTGGTGGCCAACAGTTAACCCCCTCACTACTAGTGGCTGTGACCAAGGTCAAGCGCCTCCCCTCCAGAGTGCTAGCCTCCAGCAGTTACCTAGGCACACTCCCCACCTGCTGTCCTGGACCTGGCTCCAGTCCGTGAAAACGCACAGGGCAGACAGCGTGAACTTGCACAGGGCCACCCATTCCGGGGTAGTTATTCTCCCACCAAGAATGGAGGTGTATCCCACCCCACCATTTCAGCTGCCTTCACCCCTAAAACTAACCCCAAAAAAGTCCAGTTCTCACGGCCCCAACCCAAGCAGTGGGGCCTTCAGAGACTAAAGAGTCAACCTAGCTTCCTGGGAACCAGGAAGGAACTGTGTGGGAGGGCACTGGCGGAGCCAGCCAGCACCGCCCCTCCTGGCTTCCTCTGTCCGTGGAATTAGCCTCTGCCCTGCCTCCACCCAACTTGTCAGGACAGCCCGGGCTTGGCCTTTACATCCTCAGCCGTGAGGAAAGGGTCTGACAGAATCAATAGTGCTCACTGTTGGTGGAATGGATAGAAGAATGAACGCCTACTTGCTCCACAGTCACTGTAGTGGGAATAAGTGTAATTGCAGATGTGAAAACACTGAAAATGATAAGCAAAAGCCATCTTTTCAGATGGGCCAAAGAGGTGTGATAGAAAAAGGAAGTGGGCTAGAAGTCCCAGAGGGAGGACAGAGGATAAGACCGCAGGCAGATTCTCTCACCACAGGCGTCCTGGCACCAGCGAGGCCAAGCTGTGCCTGACCCTGGCAGCCACCTGTGCCAGGATTCAGAGCCCAGGCAGTTCCGAGCCTCGCGTGTCAGCTACAGAGAGAACACGGCCAGCCAGGGTTCAGCAAGCCCACTAGCTCCCACCTTTCTCTGCCTCTGCCACCACGGCACTGTCAGGCCCCCCCGGACATCCCTGGTAGGGCAGGACAGCCACCACTCCTGGCACAAGCCTCCCTTTCAAGGAGACTGAGGGCTGAACTCCATCAATCATCACCAGAACCCCCGTGCTGAGCACACGTGTCACATCCAGTGCCAGGATGGGTGGGAGCTGGCCCTGAATACCAAGTGGTTTCTGCTGCCCAGAGCCCCCCCTCAGCCTCACCTCCTTACCACATCCCTCCCAAGGCTCCGTCTCCCCCACAGGGAGCTGCCCACCTGCTTTAGGCAAACACCCCACCTGGGATATTCCCATGACACTACTGTCTACTGGCTGTGCTGTGCCTCCTCCAGAATGCAGAATGAAGCAGCCAGGACCAGTGGGTTGTAAAAGGTTGGTTTAATGTCCCAGTGCTCCAATGAGAAGAAACTGCAGCCAGGCAGAGCAAGGATCAGGATAGCCCTGCCTCAACCACAGGTTCCAGCCTCCATGCCCACAACAGCCATGACCAGGAACTGGCTAGCCCCAGGGCAAGGAGAGCCTCAGGGTCTGACCCCCACAGCACACCCTCCTGGCAGAACTTTGCATGACAAGAGGACAGCAAAAGCCCAGCCCACACCATGATTTGAGGCTGCTGAGGTCACTGAGCTGACCATGGAAGACATCATCTGTCACTGGGGTCGAATGGCCAGGATTTCATGGTAGAAGCCAGAAAAGCCCAATCCTGCCTGCCCCTTAATCCTGACAGTGTCAGGCAGAGAATCCAGGTGGCTAGGAGCCTGTGTGGCTGATAACTCACACTTCTGACTCCAGACTGGAGATCCGCCTCCAGGTGCAGGGTCCCAGGAAGCCTTGCGTCCCACAGGCTACCCTGCTGACCCCGTCCAGTCCCCCACTGTCCCTGTAGCCTGTGCCCAGCCCCAGAGTCCTGCTCCTGTGCCCCAGAGGCCCCCAGGCCCCAGTGGGCCAGGAGCCGTGGCTCACACAGGGTGGGAGGTGAGGACAGACAGCCCCCCAGCAAAACGGCAGGTGGGCGTGGGCGTGCAGGCAGACGGGTTGTCTGTGCCGCCAGGCGGGGGCCCCTGCCTGCCCGCCCCCCTGGCAGGCCTCCCGGTAGGTCGGCAGGCACATCGACTGCGCCTGCGCCAACCTCCTGCAGGCCGTGTGGCCGTCGTGGCGGGCGCAGGCGGGGGTGGTGCAGCCGGCGGGCAGCGAGCTGGGCCGAGCGAAGGCCTCGGCCACGGAGCTCGGCAGCGAAGCGTGGCGCGGGCGCGAGTCCCGGGCCCAGGCCGCGTGCAGCAGGGCCTCCCGCCGGGCAAGCTGCTCCGGCCCGAGCAGCGGCAGGTCCTCCGGCTCCGGGGGCTCGGGGAAGAGCGGAAGGAAGGGGCGCCCAGATCGGTCGGCTCGAGGAAAGGAGCTGTAGTGACAGCGCGCGGGCGACAGGGGCCGCTGTGGGAGCGCGCGCCGCTCGGAGGCCGAGAGGTGCCTCCCGCAGTGCCCTGCCCGCACTGGCCACCGCGCCTCCCAGGCTGGGCGGCGCGACACTCGGGAGACGTCTGGCAGGGGAGGCCCAGGCGTCGGGGGGCGGCCCGGGGGCTGCGGAGCCCTGCGCACGAGCCCCGCGCGACCCCCGTCTGGCGGTCCCCAGCCCCTGGGGCTCGGCTCTGGGGGTGGGCCGGGGGTGGGCGGGCGCGGACTGGGGCCGGACCGCGGGGTCGGGCAGGGGGGCGGTGGGGGCGCACGGAGGCCGCCACCCCAGTTCTCGATGGTGCGAGTGGCGCGGTCCAGGGAGCTGCTCACGCCCGCCGTGGTCACCATGTCGCGGGCCGCCTGCAGCATCTTGAGCACGCTGGCCTGGGCCGAGCTGGCCGTGAGGTCCGGGCTGGGCTGCCGCGGTGGGCTGGCCAGGCTCTGCACCCCGCTGAAGCAGCTGTAGATGCCCTGGGCAGTAGGAGACGACACGCTGTGAGCAGCGCCCTCCGCTCAGGGACCCACCCCGATTGTCTCCCCCTGGTCCCAAGACATCATCAGCCTTCTCTAAGTCTCAGGAAGCAGCTAACTGTGAAGCGTCTCCCATGGGCTTTGCAGATGAAAGAGTGGTCTGAGCGCCCAGTGATTAACTCGTTCTCCTAATCACTCTAGCTAGCACCTGGCACGTGAGGGTTCCAACCTGGGCACGCCTGTGTGGAGGGAGGGCTCTCCCCCTCTTCAACCCTGCCACTCTGGTGAGCCATGCCACCTCTTAGGACTTTGGGTTTTTTTGTTTGTTTGTTTTAGAAACAGGGTCTCACTCTGTTGCCCAGGCTGGAGTGCAGTGGCACCGTCTCAGCTCACTGCAACCTCTGCCTCCTGGGCTCAAGCGATCCTCCCAACTCAGCCTCCTGAGTAGCTGGGACTGTAGGCGCGCACCACCACACCCAGCTAATTCTTTTATTTTCTGTAGAGATGGGGTTTCGCCATGTTGCCCAGGCTGGTCTTGAACTTCTGGACTCAAGGTACTCACCAGCCTAAGCCTCCCAAAGTGTTGGGATTACAGGCGTGAGCCACGAGCCCAGCCAGAACCTTGGCTTTTACCTCTGGAAATGGGCCATGGCCAGCCCGGACTTATCTGGGTAGGTGCCCTTAAAGCTACGGCCTGTGTGGGGAGGGGCAGGCACCCACCCTGCTGAAAGCCAGCAGGACGTCCAGCTGGGATGTGTTGGGCACCGAGTGGCGCAGCTTCCAGTAGACCAGGTGCTCCCAGGCGAAGACCAGCAGGGCCAGCCCCATGGCCACCAGCAGCATGTAGAAGACACCCGCCATGTTGTCAATGTCCAGCTTGCTGCTCATCACCTCGTTCTTCTCATTCTGGCAGATCCCTGAGAGCCACACGGTCTCCAGTTTCTGTGTCTCTCCTGGAGTGGGGGGGGTACACATCTGGCTCAGGAAACTATAGCAAACCCCTAAAGTAACCCCCTCACAAAGCTCACCACAAGCCTGGAGTAAGAAGGGATCTGGGGCCAGGGCGCCACCCCCTTCTTCCTCAAGCGGACCACACAGGGATCCAGCCTGGCTGGGACAGGATTGTGGGGCAGAGAGTGGAGGG